TCATAAATTTGGTGGGCAATATATTTCCCAGGATGGTCAAACTGTTAAAAACAATTTTCAGCATTAACGTGTTATTTCTCCAGTCGTTTATTCATTTATTTTGAATAGACTCCAGCTATTTACATTCACCTTTAATGGGAAGCTTATGTTTACTTCGTTGGAAAGATATTTATAGACTGATGAAAATGTTTTTAAATGATTCTCTGTTCATACTTGTGGTTTTCCGTTGACATATTGGCTGCTTGAACGGATGCCTAAATGTTACCACGGCTATTAACCTAAAATGACTTGTTTCTTAGTGACAAGCAGTGAGCTGCAGTTGAACTATTTGGGACTTGTCAGATAAATTTACCTGCCCTGCAGTGAGTGCTAAACAAATAATTTCAAGTTGACAATCTTAGTAATGCCAGTAATGTCAAAATGAGACTGATAAACTTGGACCAGATATGTTAGCGGGACATTACAAGAATCAGTGAATTTTTAAATCATACCCGTTGAATAAAAGGTGGCTGCCATGGATCCTTAGCCTAGTGGACTATGCTTGCTTGTTCAAGAAGATAAGTGCTGGGTTCAAGTCTCACAAAAGGGAACACCACAACTTACTGGGGAGACTGTAAATCCATCTGATGAGTCCTAAAAAGGATGAAACCTGCGTCCTGGATTCTATTCCTAGCCACCATCAGACAGGTTACTTCAGTATCCTAACTTTGCTTTAGACGTATTAGGTAATTTGAAAGAAAATATATGCAAAAACCTGAAAAATAAGGTATATAATCTTACAAGATATTACATTGGTGAATAAAAAAAGCAAATTATTTCTTCAGCATCTTGAAACAATTCTCAAATTAAACTAAATTCATCTGGAAAGCAAATCATTTACTTGACAGATGTTTGCTCTTTTCTAGAAACTCTCAAGAATTTCATCCTCTGAACACTTTGAAAAAGATTAACTGAAGGCCTTCTTCAATTTTACCAATAAATACATTGACAATGAATGATTACTGATCCCTCCACACTTTCCATATCCCCGATTCATTCAAAAAGCAGAGTGACCAACGTGACGGATACTTTTTTTTTCTTAAGATGGCTAGGCGTACAATTTAGTCATCTTTTAATGATAAGTTTTAGCAAAACAAATTTGCCGCACTTTCGTTTTAGCCTAAGTGTGAATAAAGGTTAGAACGAAGGCGGTTAAATACGATTTAAATTTCTACAAATAGTTTGATCTCATGTGATTTCGCATAGCGTGCATAGGGGAATGCTGTTAGCATATCAGATGTTATGTTTGGCTGTCTTAAATGTGTTTAATCAACTTTTTTTCACACATTTGGAATATTGAGTTTGCTGTAATATGCGCGAAAACGCCTGACGATTACTTTTATCTTCATCTTACACGTAATTTTCAAAAAGAAATTTTAAGTAAGAGGTAGGTTTCACTTTGACATACATAATGAAAGACGCAGCATAGTAGAAAGTTGCCAAAAACAAATGTGAATTAGCTAAAATTGTTATGTTTAGTGATAGTTTAAGAGTAAAATACAACAGAGTATGTGATTCCATAGTTTGAAAAAATAATGATTAAGCTTAAATTAAGTAATGTTCACTAATTGAGAAGAAATAACTGATTTTTAGTGCATAACTATAGTTTCATTTCAGGTAGACTAGGTTATATGTATCATTGACATAAGAATAGAACTAATGTACTGTGGTTGAGTATAATTCCATTATGGGTAAAATTTATTTTGATAAAGTCTCACAGTGTTTGTTATACAGGAATATTTACTGATGACCACGTTTCGAGCACAATTTATTGCCACTCATAATCATATCAAGGTACCCACACAACTTCATTTATATAATTCCATTATTTTTCATTGCTTAACTTGATTGCGAGTAATATTTTCCATATTTCCGGTATGAATGATGAGTCATTTCTGTTGCATGTGTTGGGTGTAGATCCGATGAACAAGGATTCATTAATCAATCTGTCTCTCTCCATCTACCTAGATTACTTCTTAGAATTTTAACCCTTTCCCACCCTATTTTGTGGTTGTGTGTCAATGCATGCAGTGCAATCGCTGAGCTTTTTTCTAAATTACTCATCTTCTCGGGGTCAGCCATTCTTACCTTAGCTAAATTCTTAGGTTCCAACAATCTGACTACCCCGACCTACGAGTTTGACCTATGTAGTTGACCTCAAGCGCAGTCATTGCGGGGTATTTTGTAAATTATATTATTTTGTCTAATTGGGTCAACTGGGTCCTTTTACTTACAAAGCTTGTCCCGCCTGAGTGAGTTTGTAGGTTTAAATGTCACTCTAATTCCTGCTTTGTCATTACTAGTGTAACGACAGAAGGCAAGAGTCAGGCAACAGATCCTTTATTAAGGAAATCAACGCATATTTATATATTTTCATGTACATTACTATGGATATTTAAGCAAACAAACACAGTCTCCCGATTGGTTGTTTCTCACGTAAAGTTAATCTTTCATCTATTTGTGACTGTTTCTTGACTGTCAAATCCTCTATATGTTAACTGCATCCGCCTACACAAAGTCTGCTGTGGTCGGTTGTGAATCAATCTTTGTTCACATTTTCTCAAGACAAATCTTGGGAATGTAAATATTGACGTAAATTTCTGTCTACCAATTTGGCTAGTAGACAGCTCTCACCACACTAGTTTCACAATTATTTTTTATTTTGCTCTCGACCTTTTCTGATCTTCCTGATGAATTTTATGAGATAGTTATTTGATACCAATGCCTCTTCTATCTGTTTTATTTCACCATTTAGGTCTTTTTTTGTACTACTTAGTGCAATTGCTCGGTTTGTTAAACACTTAACTAAGCCTGCCTTTACATATGACATATGAGATGAATTAAAGTCTAAATATCTATTAGAATGCTTTGGTTTTTTATAAACGCTAGTGTGCAGTTTACCTTCTTCTGTTCGTTTGATTTTACAATCTAACATAGCTAATTCTCCTTGATCATTTTCCAATTCAAATGTGAATTTTATTCCCTTCAGTAGTGAGTTTATTTGCGTCAAGAAGCTAGATATTATTTTATTATTTTATTTATTTTGGTTACGGCTTGATGCCACACTGTGTTTTCAGTACAAGTATGGAATTTTCAGCACGGATATCGGTAGCCCAAATTTTGCAGGCCGACCATAGATATCGGGTGTGCGTCGGCAGGGGATCGAACCTCGGACCATATGCATGGTCGACGAGAGTCCTAACCACTGTGCCACCGACACTGTGAAAGTGTCATCCACATATCTCCATCATATATTTGGATTAGGATTAAATGTATTTAGAGCAATATTTTCCCAGCTGTTCATAAAGATATCTGCTACGATAGGGGATATTGGTGATCCATCCCATTGCTACACCTTCTGTTGGTCTATACATTTTGCCTTGGAATTTAAAGATAGTAGATGTGAGGCATAGCTGAATTCCTAAAATAATTTCCTCAATGGAAAATACTACTACTACCAAACAAGTCAAGCGATGGAAAATAATGGAATTATATAAACGAAGTTAGGAAATTGTGTGAGTGAGTACCTTGATATGATTATGAGTGGCAATAAATTGTGCTCGAAACGTGGTCACCAGTAAATATTATTGAATAACACTGTGAGACTTTATCAGAATAAATTTTGCCAATAATAGATTATGCTCAGCCTCAAAAGAATTAATGTAAAATCTAGTTAAAAGTCATCATTATCGAACTGAAAGTAAGCTACATTTTCTGACTTATACCATGTGCCATGAATTAGTCAGTCTTCCAGGTTTCGTCTTGTCTACGAGCCAACCAAGAACCTATCGCCCAACAAGTTTGTCGAAGGAAATAGAGGTGGATTGAATACACACTAAGAAGGCTGTTGATCAGCATCACACTCAAACACAGACCGTCTGGTGGAACAGGAAGCGAATGATGAGTTGAGCATCCTAGGGTGGAAAGATAGAGATCGCGTGAAGAGAAAATGAAAGCTTATAGGCAATTGTGATGAAGGTTCCTGGGCAAGAAGAACAACAACAGACAACGACCAGCATAAATGGAAGGAACCTGAAAGAAACAAGCTCCTTTACCTACCTGGGAAGCATCGGTTCAACTACAGGCGGAACTGACGAGGATATCAAAGCAAGAATCGGCAAAGCAAGGCAAGCTTTCACTACTCTCAAGTCTGTGTGGAGGTCAACAGCACTCAGCATCAAAAATAAGATCGGGATTTTCAACTCCAATGTGAAGTCAGTGCTACTATACGGATCACAGACTTGGCGCGTCATAAAGAGTATCTCAAACAAACTACAGACCTTCATTAACAGTTCTCTTCGCTCAATACTCAAGATCAGATATCTGGCCAGAAAAGATCAGCAACAGAGATCTCTGGGAGCGAACCTACCAGGAACCGATTGTGAAACAAATAGACAGGAAGAAATGGAGATGGATTGGCTGGCCATACTCTTAGGAAACCATCAAGTGACATCACTAGACAAGCCATCGATCGAGTGAAACCCGAAAGGGAAGCGGCGAGTTGGTCGTCAGTGCAAGGGTGACTTGGAGGAGGTCATGTGAAGAGGAGATGAAAACGTGTGGGCAGACATGGAGTCACATGAAGACTCTAGCAGAGAACCGAACGCAGTGAAGACGCACGGCTGAAGCCCTATGTTCCTCTAGGAATTAAAGGAAACAATAATAATAATAATAGTCAATTGTGGAGCCAGCTAAAGAGGACTCCACAGAATAGGATCCAATGAAGCTGTGCGTTCCACTCAGAACCCAAGAGGTCCATAATTGATGATGATGATGATAATAATAATACAAGTTTAACCTGCGATAATGTACCACCACATGTCACACGTATGTCAGCCAATTCAGTCTACCCAGTGATTTTTAGTCATGTACAAACTGCTGAAATAACATTGTTATCATTATTATACACAAATATCGTCATAGCATAATCTTATCACTTTATATTTCCACTTATTTTACAGACATTTATCTGGATATACAAATTGAAAAACACAGTTTATTGTTGTATACAAGAGAATAAACATTGAAATCTCATCATTTGTTTTTGTGTATCTATTGCATACACAAAACAATAATAATAATAGTACTAGTGAATTCAACTGACATCCAAGAGATAACAAGAAGCAAAATAAAATGTCAAATCCCATTGGCCAACTGCATATCTGTATGTTAGGCAGTGGTAATGTTGGTAAAAGTGCACTAACTCTACAGTTTATGTACGATGAAGTAAGATTAATTTCAGTTGTATATAATATCAGTTTGTTTAGTTTGTTGAAGACTATGAACCAACTAAATCAGATTCATATGTGAAAAGAATTAATTTGTACGGTTGTAATGTAGACGTTTCAATCCTTGATACAGCTGGTAAGTATATTGACATTTTAAAAAATGTAATTAATTATTGATTTTTGGAAATTTTAATTTTTATAAATACATGCGTATAATTTTATTTTATTCTGCTTGCATGAGGTAACAGAGGTAGGATGATTTTTATGCTATCACCATGAGAATTTTCACCAACTAACTGCGCTTTTAGCCCAGGGGGCGATTCCTGGGTGACATACTACTAAACCCAGGTTAGTTTGCTAACTGTTAGTAAACCACGGCTACTGAAGCTTCAGAGCTCAAAGATGAAGTCGTCTGTTCCATTAGGAACACTAAGTGATCAAAAACAAGCCTATACGAATAATGCTGGTAGAATTGAGAGAAGTTAAACTTCGTGATTAATTGGGTAAGAGTGGTGACCTAAGCACCTTGTGATACAATGGTTTGGAGTATGCCCTACAAAAGACGGGAAGCGCGCGAGCACACACAAGGTGTGAACGACTTTTAAAGTGGTTTATAATTTGTTAGACAATACACATTTATTTGATGCCGTTTCGAAGTAAGGTTATTCATACACTTTTACTGTGTCCTGTGTCAATTAAATGTCTGGCGATTGCACTCGATAAATTGCTACTGCAAATTGCTAATTCTATGTACAAAGAATATTCAATTCCGATTCAACAATCAGCTGTACAGGCAGATTGACGGGGTGGCTATGGGTTCACTTCTGGGTCCTGTTCTTGCTGACATATTCATGGCTCATCTTGAACAGACTCGAATGAAAGAAGAAATAGAAAAAATCACCTATTTATGCAGAAATGTCGACGACAAGTTTGTGGTCTGCAATGATATAGAACACGCTTCCGCAATGTTTGAGAAACTCAATGCATTTACAATTGACTACGAAAGAAACAACCGGTTCCACTTCCTAGATGTCAACATAAAAAGAAGAAACGATGGGACGATTCAAAAATCTGTCTACAGGAAAGAAACTTGGACTGGTCAATACTTAAATTATCACAGCTTTTGTCCAACCAGTTACAAACTAGGTCTAGTAAAAACGCTCTTCAGCAGAGCCAAAGAAATATGTTCGGAAGACAAGATTGAAGAAGAACTCGCGGTCATCGAAAAGAACCTTATCGATAATGGATGTCCCCGAAAGTTCATATTAAAGCATAGAAATGAAGAAGCATACAAACCGAAACCTGACACCGTTAAAAAGAAACCAGTTTTCATCTGTCTAGCGTACAAAGGGGAAGACGTATCCACAAGAACACGAGAAAGAATCACAGGTTCATTAAAAAGAACGTTTCCAGCCGCCAGACTGATCCTATTTCACAACACCGTGTGCTCGTTAACCCAGTCAAAAGTAGATAAGTACCCTGCTCACGTCAACTCCAACTGCATTTACCAATTCACTTGCACTTGCGGAAGCAAGTACGTAGGAAGGACTGAGAGGAGAGCATCTACTAGATTTTCTGAGCACATTCCTAAGAGTCTCCGTACAGAAGGAAGAAAAGTCTTATCGAGTGCAATCGCCAGACATTTAATTGACACAGGACACACAGTAGAAATTAGCCAAGCCTTCAAAATAATCATACACTTTTGCCTAAATGACTTTCAAATGTTGTCATTTACCGCTACGACATTCTGTATGTAGGATGATGAGTCTCTAATCTAACGTATTACCAGTTTGTTGGTTGGTTTGAACTCACTTGGTTGTATGAGTTAAGTCAAATCGGGTACACTATTCATGAACGTAGCCGCCAAATGGGTAAAACGATGGTCCAGTGTTTAGTTCATTCTGATCTGGCTGGCAAGCACCAGCTTTTGATGTGAATGATGTTCAACTACTCCAGCGGATCAATCGATAGTATATAGCGTGATGAGTTTCTGAATAACTTGTATACTATTCTCAGTTTACCTTCTTATGATACACTTTATGCATCCGTTATGCAAAAACCTAATTCTATATCCTCACTCGTTAAGTAAGTAAATATAGACTTACATATATCTAATCTTCATTACATCAGACTGTGTCTTTCAGTTTTGCTAAGGATTAAATAACTTTCCAATGACAGATGTCTTACTTTCAAAAGATTAATAATTTTTAGTGTTAGTTTGAGACAATTTTTTACAAAAAATAACCGTTCTCAAATCAATAAATTACACTGGAAGAATCATATTTTGCCATCAGGAGACAAAAAATTTTATTTAGCCTAAACGCATTTCATTTCATGCTATTGTGTTGTAAAGCGCCTGAATACTCAGTTTTCGTCGATTCAGTCGATCGATAGGATTATTCCTGAATTAGTTATGAAATAGAGATATTGTCTGGTTTTCTTTACACAATATATATATATACATATATATATATATATATATATATAGATCGTGAGCATCCATCAATGGTCTGAATTAGAATAATCTGACAGGAATACAACCCAATTCTCAGATTTTTCTAAAAGTGATATTTACATTGTGTCTGAATATTTTCCACTTTCCTGAGTGACACTTAGAAGAATGAAAATTTCATTAGGACATCTTTATCCTGTGTTAATCCTTTATCTGCACTTTAGTACACTTATTAGAGTTTAACTGTGTCTACGATCTCTTTCTCACGCTAAGTGGTATAATAAGGTAAGCAATGTTGACGTTAGGCGTAGAGTGTTGGGCAAAGAGGGAAAATCAATCGAAGAGGCTATAAAGTTACATAGATTGAGATGGCTAGGTCACGTGCTGCGCATGCCTAACCATCGCCTCCCCCGACGGACGGGCATTACTAGCTGATATAGGTGCAGGCTGGAAAAGAGTAAGCGCTGGCCAAACAAAAACATGGCATCAATCCATGAAATCCTTGACAGTTAAACTAAGTCAGGTAGGGAGATGCAGACTTCCGGGTTGGGGCCCTTGGGACTCTAAAAATCAATGGCTGGAGACAATAGGTGACATGGCTCAAAATCGTTGTCAATGGCTTACGCAGATGCATTCAGTCTCTGTAATCTTTCATATTCCTTTCTACCATTACTCATCCTGTTCCACTCTTATACTTGTCAAAACTCTATTGATTCTCTTCACTCATTTTCTTGTCAACCTTTGTGTTATTTGGAACGTGACAACTGGAACTGCTGCACTTCGGTGCCAAGTTCCATATTGAATCCAGAGAGACGAACTGTGCCTCACTTAAGCCACAGAGTCTTTGAGAAATATATAGTAAGAGTTATAGATTTAATTTCATTGATAATTAAAACATTTTCTACATCGATTGAGTAATCAATATTATGCATCTAGTCCGCAGATGCTGCTGCAGACTGAATTCTGTCAATCAGTTTTACAATATGGTCACAAAGCTAGTTGGCTTGCAGTCACGGTACACCCTAAATAGAAGTAAGATATTGTTGGTTTGTAGGGATTTGATTGGTTACAGGATTTTCATCATGAGCTGACATTAGTTAGAGAACCGTTGGAAAACCTGGGAGTACTGGACAGCTGTTTCGTCCTAGTTTGGGACTCCAGCAGTACGCACCCACCGGGATTCGAACCCAGGACCTTCTGGTTACAAGGCGAGCTAGCCCGTAGACCATTAAGCCACTGGGACCCAATCCAATGGCCAGTCCATGAATTCTAACTTCTGCCAATTCACGACATAGCGCGACCCCTAGCCAATGTCCTCGGCGAGTATTTGTCCTCACGCCCTACCTGCTGTACCCTACTGGTCACGACTTCTCACTAGAACCCCAGGCAACTACCTACCTGAATAGGGCCAGTCACTAGTGAGCATCTCATTGATATTCAAGTGTTGGTGGGCGCGTACTGATGAAGAGTCCCAAACTAGGACGAAACAGCTGTCCAGTACTCCCAGGTTTTCCAATGGTTCTCTAACTAATGTCAGCTCATGATGAAAAGATGTAAGATAGTTGGAGGTAATTGACATGAGGTTGTAGAGGTAAGTTTCGTGCTTTCTGGCATCCGTCAGCAAGGTGTATATACAACCTTGAAGGAACTCATTTCCCCTCCTGGATTCGAGACTGTACACGATTATGATTATAAAAATCCAATAGAAAGATTCAAAGTTTTACCAATAAGCAGAATTTGAAATCGAGAGCAAAGTAGTTAACTATTACTGTGTTCATATTTCTCATTCAGGCAAGAAGTGATAGACATCAGTAACACTGGGTTTACTTTTTACTAACCGAACAAAATGTCAGTTTTGTTTTCATATTACCTTCGTCAATCATGAAATTGATGGTTAGATTATCTGAGATAGATGTGGATTATTGACAGACTGTTATTGGGTAGTAATGGAGTTGAAATTAAAGACGACATTGAAATTAATGTTTTTTTATTATTCCTTCACGTTCCCCAGTGGAACATAGGGCTTCAGGCTAGAGGCTTGAAGTTTCTGTGGCAGTGTTTATTTTACAGGATGGGGTTGCTAGCCTCATGCCCAACCTCTCCTCTTTACCAGCATTATTTCTGGCTTAGCGAGGTAAAGGAGTGCGTCGGCAGAGGATCGAATCCCGGACCATGTGCATGGTCGGCGAACGACCTAACCACTATGCAACGACGCACGAAATTAATGTAGAATTCCTTAATTTTGGATAGACTTATGTTTTTAAAACAAGGTGATATTCGACATTAAAATAAATTAAGTCTTTGGCCAAAGGAACTATCATCTGACAAAGCAGCATATGCAGCAACCCTGTCTCACGTACCCATAAAATCAATGTTGTCAATATTGTTACTGAATTCGTATTCCTATGTGATGTGATTAAGAATACATAAGTCAACCAAAATAATCACTTTTTATTACTTATCTTCAAATCTGTACAGCTAATTAGGGACTTTTGTGTACAATAATAATTGACAACAAAGGTCAGAGGTCATGGTTAGTTTGTAAAAAATTAGGTCAAAGTGTATGAGAAGCAATAGTGTGTAATAAATAATCATTTATCTTACGCAATCAGGCAGGAGTTGGCGACTACTTAGTTAAGTGATGAATAATCAAGTATTGGTTTGTAGGGATTTGATTGATTGGT